GGTCGGCGGTGGCCGCGGGGCGGGCGGCAGCGGGGTATAGCGCTGGCTATAGTTCGCCGCCATGCCCAAGTACTACGAGGATAAGGAGGAGGACGGACGCGCCTGCAGCGGCGTGAGGGAGGACCTGCGGCAGTGCCTGATGGAGAGCCCCTGCGTCCTGCAGGTGAGTACCGCTGCACTTCCTGGCCGGAGACCCGCAGGTCGCCCTTTTACGGCCTCTTACCTCTTGTTTGCAGCAGTTTAGGGAATTACAGCTCCGGAGGAGAGCGCAGGTCACTGTACCGAAGCGAAATCCTTAGCGAACTTTTCTGAAGTTGGAAGTAAATGATCCTCAAAGGCCCCTTTCAACCCAAATTACTCGGTTAGCCGGAGCGTGGTGCTAATAACAGCAGGGTCGTGGGTCCCATCCCTATATTGGCCTTCCCTTAAGGGATGGACTGGATGATCCTTGTGGGTGCTTTCCACCTCAGAGTATTCGGTGATTCTATTGTATGATTCTGTGAAGTGTTTTGATGTCTCTTTTGTTGCAGAAATCAAATTTTTAATCCTTTATTTTTTCATCTACTAGGAAAACAAAAGCCCTAAACAATGCTTGAGGGAAGGACACTGTAGGAGTTTGCAAGTGACATTCTTTGCATGCAAAAGATCAATGGTAAGTGTGGTGTGTCTTCTGCTGATGGCCTGAATGTTTCCTGTACTTTCCCCCACCCTTTTAAGAAAAACATGGTGTTTCAGTAAGGTGGGTGTCAAAAAGCAGAACAGCTGTTGCCTTTGAATCTTGATTAAACTATGGGTGTTGTACTCAGTTCTCATGAAGAAGAAGCCATAGAGTAGGAAAAATTGGAAAAACACATGATTAAATTGGATTCGGCTTAGAATATCACAGGTAAGTGAGGCAGGTATTTTCACTATTGTTTTTACTAAAGTTTTGGGTTAAAAATATTAGTAGATCAGGTAATTGTAAGATAAAACATTGACAAACTATCCTTTGCCTGTAAGGTCTTTGAAAAACATCTATGTAGAGAATATTTAAATGAAGTGAAGTAAGACTTTCACTGTTGAAGCAGGATCTTGCATTGAATTCACGCTGAGTCATTCATTTTCTTGTAGTACTAGATTTCATGATAAATAACAGGTTTTTTTATATAATGAATTATCCCATATGGAAATGGCAAGTCATTTTTAAAAATGTAATTAGATAAAATCTTCTATATTTTGATAGGAGTTCCTTGTCCAGAATTTTTTTGCTTGTGTTTCCATAGCATTTAAAACACATTTAAGATGTGGTAAAGATGGTAGTAAAACTTTACAAACATGAGAAGTGCAGGGCTCATTTTTATTTTTGTTTTTATCTGATGAAGACAATTTCAGCTGAAATTGTACTTTCATTTTCTTTCCCATTTTTTATTAGTTATAACAGCTTTTTGTACCTCTTCTATATGAACCATATTAATTCGTCAAGTGACAAATTATTATTTCTGTGTATAGGAAGATGTTGTATATTGAAAGTTTGAAATACCTATATAAAGCTGCAGTGGCAAGATAAGTATCTTCAGGTGATGTGCCTGTATTTTTCTGTCTGTGGATTGTTAAGGGAGCCTGATGAAACTAAATTTCTCACTAAATGCCTCTAGTCATGGCAGAAGAGGCCTGGCTCTTAAATGATTTTATTTAACTCTCCCAAGTTTTAAGGCTCATGAGTGAAGTTTCTTTTGTCTTGTTAATTCTGTAAATTTCAATCATCATGCTCAGTCAAACTTGTTATTTGTTGTAATAGTGAAATTTAAAGAATGTCCAAAACCAAATTGGATGCTAAATACAGATATAATGTACAGAATGCTAAAATCATCAGGGTTTTGCCTAGATGCTGTTTTCTTTTCAAGGAAAGAGAAAGTCTTATCAGTGGAGTAACTTTAGTACACTTTAGATGCTGAAGTAAGGCCAAGGTTTAAAGTGAAAGCTACTTGGTTATTGGACAAGCTGTGTCATTGTGAGTCTAGCTTTTGACAAATTTTGCTGCACTTCTGAATTCTGGAAGAAGGTTAGTTAATGGTGGTAAAAGAAGCCTCCTCAGTCTAGTATCAGAATACGGCTGAGTTGCAATCTGTTACTGCCATCTTCAAGACTGGCTATCTAAGTTCAGAAGAATTCTCCCAAGATCAAAGTATGTTTTTCTCCTGCATTGGGAAAGAACTTGCAGTTTAGCTTCTGTTAGTACTGTACTGTGGCTTTTATTTTAGCTTTACCATCATCTTTAGCCTTTCATTAAGCACTTCTTCTCTAATTGCCAATAATAAACTTTCAGAATAAACAAGATGAATATTGTTTCTGGTTTTACTGATCTATTTCTGTTTTTTCCACAAACTTTTTACATTTAAGTTACCCTTCTCTTCACAGACATTTGTAGTGACTCTCACTTCAAACAGATATGAATTTTCCTCCTTCAGTTTATCAGTTATATTTGCAAAACCAATCTAAGCAGCTTTACACTACCTTGTTTTTCATGGGTTCCTTGCCATCCTACTATCCATTTCTATCATTTATGTTGTTTATTTCAGAATACACAGGAAGCTTATCACATAACTTTAGTTTTGTGTGAGGTTTAAGATCATATAATGCCTCTTTTCATCTGAATCTGCTGTGGCTATATCACTAATTTTCTTTTGCTTTATTCTGGCCTTCTGTTCTGATGTTACAAAGTGCCAAGGTAGCACAAACGCTCTACATTACTTCTTTTGGAAAATACCCGCTCTTAACATATTTTCTTCAATTTTCAGTTGGATACCAGGGCAAGATTCAGAGGAAGGAAGGGATACTGAAATCCTCATCAAGAGACCTAGCCATGGGAATTTGAGGTTCATCAGAACTCTACACAAAACAGAGACTAAAGTAAGAAGATGATACTTGCTGCATCCTTTCGTGTAGTGTTTTCATGGAAGGCATCTACTCCTGAGTATTCTGACAGATTGACCTGAATGTGTGTTTAAATGTTGAAAAAGAAGGCAAGCATAAAGCTGCAAATTCTGGCCAAAATGGGTACCTGTCATGTACTTGCAATAAAAATGTGAAATCCAGAACAAGCTGCAGAAGTTATCATTCTGTTTTGAAGTGAAGTTGTCTTTTGTGACTTTGCCGTAAATTCTGATAATCTTTTACTATTAGAAATAATACAAGGTATGGAACTGGAAGTTCACTTGATGTGTTGAGGAAGAGTTTCCTTAGTAGATGAGTATCTCAGAGGGTTTCTCAGAATAGAGCTATTTTGAGAGATGAGGAGCTGACCAAGGTTGTAAAATATGTGTGCAAGCTGCTTCCTCTCCAGTAGATTTGCTACCCAATAAACCTGTAATAGATGGGAGCGGTGGTGTTTTTCAGTCCCTCACTGCTAAGGAATTGGGATTTATGGGAATAAGAAGCATTAAATAATGCTTAAACCATGACTGTGGTCAATGTTAACTGGTTCTGTATAAGAACTACTTTTCCAGAGGAATATTTCTTTTTTCTTCCTTTAGTGTCCCTGCCTCTACAAGCCTTTAAGAAGTAAATGCTGCTGTAACTCTTACACATGGAAACTGGAATAACTTCAGGCAATTTTATTGGAAGCAAGATGAGGAAATAGTGAGAGGGGAGAGAGCCATAGTAACGTCTTTTCTTGGCTGAAGTTCATAGCCAAGTAACTGAAATACATTCAGTCTGAACAGATGCATGTAACACTTATTGTTTCTAAAACTGATTTCTTCAGTTAATGAGCACATGTTGACTATTTAATTCTGTCTGTCTTAAGCAACTGTTCTGTAATGAGTCAGAGAATGTTTATATTCCTTGTATGTGTAGGACTTTATTTTTGCCACCTATATCAACTCTGATTTCACATTTTTGCCTTCTGTTGATCATGTGGAAGCTAGTTGATTTGTTCAAGTGCTGTAAGCATCCTTTGTTTTCCACAGCCTAATTACCATATTATCTCTTTACATACACTAAGATGATAATTGATGTCTATAAGAGTATTTTTAACTTAACACTCTAATTACAAAGTATTACTCACAAGCCTTTTCCATGGGGAAAAACATAAGAAAAGTACTAAAAATAAATATAAAGCCACATGGCAGGTATTTAAATGTCAGAGAGAGGAGTGGGAATGGTATGTGAGTTTGGTAGTCAAGGACTCTTCCATGGTATGCCCTACTGCATGGGTTTGTAGGCTGATTGTTCAACTGATCTTTATTCCTTTCTCAGCACTAATTACTAAGCCTCACCTAATGGTGCTGCAGCAACTCCTTTTGGAAGGGAGCAGAAAGATGGCTACATCACAGACGTAATGTTATTTTTAGTAGTCAGCTTGATCCAGTGGAGATCAGGTGTTAAATCTATTGGATATTTCTGGATTTAACAATGAGCAGAGCACATGTATTATATGATCCATTAGAATGATAGTGTCAAAAATTCCTAATGGTTCATTGAAGTACCTAGGACAGTATGAAAATAGTGCAATAGGTATCAAAATACTGATTTGCTCAGGAGACTTGTTCAAATATTTTGTAACATAATACTGTGTCTTAAGATAAGTAATTACATAATTGTCTTGGGACTTTGAGCACTGTCCTACTTGAGAGATAATGCTTCTTTGGGAGAAATAATTCATTTCATTAATGCTCTAAGTCCTATGCATTTGATTACAGCTTTTTCCCTAATGCACAAAATGTTTTTTTAGAAATAATATTATATAATATTATTTATAATATAATTATAATATATAATTATAATATATTATAAATATATTGATTTTCTTGTCTCATGCCTTGTGCTACATTACTGACTTTTACTAAAAAAGTGTATGTTTCTATTCTTTGGTAGATTTTGCAAGATGGATTTGTGAAATGAGGTTGTTGAGGACAAATGGTTGTCTTGGTGCCAAAAGGCTCATACTAGTTTTAGAATCACAAATATAAGCAGTGCTAATAGTTTGTAGTGAATAAGTAAAGAATAGAGTTTGCAAAGACCTTGCTGTTCCTCTCATTTGTTTTCCATGATGGAGAGTCAGAGGGTGCTAAATGGTATCAAGACTGACCTCACAGGCTGTGGCTCTGTCAGTGCTAGGACCTGTCTGATACAACATCCCGTTTCAGCAATTAAATGTCCTCGCTGTGGTCCAATCCTGCAAACACAGTTGTATTTACAGAGCTGTAAACACATATTGCAGAACTGCTCACATGTTTATGATGATAAATGACCACCCTGTGGTGGTTTACTCTGAAAATTCTTTAGGCTGTTAAATCTTTCAAGTTAGTACAGAGCGATAAGTATATGAATCTGTTTAATGAAGGCCTATGTGTACATATGTTGAAAAGTGAAAGAAAAGGGTTGGTGTTTAAAAGGTATCACACATTTAGTATTTAAGATGTGCCTCTCCGAAGGAAAGACAAAGCATCTTTAAAAAAACTCACTTTTGAAATATTTTCTGCTTCCAGAATGGGTACATTTTTATTACAAAAAGCTTTGTTATTCACTGGGTGGTGTAAGAAATTGGTTGTCCAGTCTCTCTTCACTTCTAAAGTTTCTAGAGAGTAGCAGGTTGGATGAGATGCTTTTTTTCAAAGAAAACATTTAAAATTATATCTTTTCAGTGAAAGCCTGGAACAAACTAGATTGACACCTTCTACTCATAAGAAGAGCATTAAATTAAGTCATCATCTAAAAATGCAGGCGCAGAATGTAGGTGGTAAGCAGTATCTTGTTTCCTTGTTTAAGCCTGTGGTTAGAAAACTTACAAATACAGAACTGTAGCAGCTTTGTTAAAGTAATGACTTTTACTCTGCCTTGATATGTGGTCATTTAGAATATGTGTATTTATTGTAAATAAAGGTGCAAGTGTCTTGTCTAAAACTGAAGAGCACAACATCTTAATTCCAGTCATAAGTTGTAGTTGACAGAATAACCAGAAACCTTAAGATCCTTTCTCATTTTTCTTTTTCCAAATCTGCCTGCTGAATTTTCTGTCTCTGGCATGGTTTTATTGCAGATATCTTCAGAAAATCATTAACCAGTTATTTCTGTAAGTGGCACACTCCACAATGACTTGGTTGACAGTCTGTAGGAAGAAAATTCTGTAAACATAAAGAGCAGCTTCTTGAAGTGGACTATGCTTTATTTTCAGGATTTACAGACGGTTCATGTTATTCATGTAATAATGTTCTTGAACACTGAAAGCGGAAGAAGCAATAAGATTAACATTTTAACAGTTGCTTAATTAGATCAGTAGAAGGTGATATATTTCAAGTAATAATGTATTTTAGTGGCTAAACATTGAAAACATATTTTTATGTCAAGCTGAGGTTGGTGTGTCCTGATGGAGGCTTTCATATGCAATATTCTTTTTTGGCTGGCCTGTAGGTACTAATGGGCTGCAGTGAAATGGAAAGGAATAATTTCCCTAAAGATTTTTTAGTAACAGAGGAAATGATATTAGTAAATCTCTGTGACCTAGAACAAGATTTTTAAAATCTGCAGTATTGCTACTATTGCTTTAAAAAGAGCTATGGAAAAATAGCAAAGCAGAAATTAGCTCGTAATTCATAAGTTCTCATGATAAACTGTGCTACTGTAAAATTGTATTGTGTTGTCTTTCATTACCACTCAAAGAGGAATATGAACTTTTCCTAGTCAATTTATGACAGAAACTTTTGTGGCTTTTTTCGTGGGGAAAGTTTTGAAGTCTTCCTGAGGCCAAAAAGTATTAATATTTATTAATATTAATAAATATAATATTTGGTAATAAATATAATCTTTATTAGCTGTTGTGTCAGGCTTTTGGTTCTGTAGCAGCCGTACTTCACTAATGGTCATCATAGAAGGATGATTTCTGGGATTCTAAGTGGGAAGAAATCTGTTACAGGTTGTTGGATTGTTGGCATGCTGAGGAAGATGAGTGTAAATAGTGTGTTGAGGGGATTAATTATTGGATGTGTAAAAATTTGTATTGTAAAATATGTATGGGCAAAAACTCCATAAAGCCCGTTATCAGCTGAGACTGGACATTCAGGTCCCTTCCTGCTTTATGTCAGTAGTTAAGGTAAGTGCTTGGCACCTTTTGTCTAGTCTGACCTTCTGTGAAGCTTTTTATGCTGGAGAAAGGCACCAGCTCTTGAAAATGGCATAAAATCTGATTATTATAATTTCTCTTGATAGAATATTTCAATAGCCAGTATTCCCTCCTTTTCTAGAAAGAGCATATCTGTCTTGTGATTAGAATTTGACTTCAGTTTTCAATTCTGGGAGAGGAAGATGGCTCTGCAAAGGAGTTAGTAGTATCTTACATTTTCCTGATGGAATGCATTTGGAAAAAAAAAATGCAATGAAATGCATGGATTGACTTCCTAAAATCTTGTGTTATACCTGCCTTCCTTAGTCCCATCACAGCGGGGAGATTTGCAATCTCCTTTCAGGAAGAAGATAAACCTCTATTACTGATTTTTTTAGTATCTACATACAGGTAAGATCCTTGCTTTTTACACTATTGATTGTGCTTCCAAGGTGAGTGTCACATTTTGTCATTTAACACACTGCATTAAGTTGGGATCTCATGTTCAGTTCCCTGTCCCTTATGACCCTGATGCCTTTTTCAGAGTCAGTAGTTTTTCACTCTGATGTTTTCGCAGTGTATGGATTGTTTTATAGCTTTTTGTAATTTTCCTGGATATATAACCCAAGATTTGGCTATTAAAAAATGATAGAAGTTTTGAACAGTATGCTTTGTCATCTGTTCCAGAACTTTTATGTGATGGCTCAGTTCTTCTGTTCATCACAGTGTCAGCTGTTGGGTTATTCACAAATACAATTGGCGGTGAGTTTATACATACTTACACACCTTTGAAGAAAACGTGAAATAATCTTAAACCTGGTAATGGTTCCAGAGCAGCTCTCTAAGTACTCTACTGAAATACAACTCCCTTCTATTTGTGAGGTTTCATTACTTATAGATTAAGAAAATATAATATTACAAAAAAATTAGGTAAATGGAAAATCTCTCTAGCCTATCCATTCCTACCCTGCTGGGTTTTCTTGTATTTTTCCCTGGTTAATTCAGACTGCTGTGCCTACAAATAACATGGTAATTTCTCCACATCCTCCTTCAACACTGGTGCAATGTAAGGCCCTTCTGGTCCCTTGGGTTTTAGTGCTGGTTTGATTCCCTAATACTAAATTAACATCAATAGTAAATGTTGTTCTTCCAGAGTCCTTGGTGGGGAGGTGTGCAAGTCTACTGTTTACAAAGGTTGTATTTTGGTTGATGAGGATTAATAACATCAACAGCTGCAAATAAACTATGAATTTTTGCTGTCAAGATCTGTATTTAA